GCCGGCCGCACGGAATAGATGGGCCTTCAGGGCTCGGCGAAAAAGGCGCAGGTCCGCAACTGTACGTAGGTCGGGGGGTAGGTCATTCCAGAGGGCAGGAGCTGCCACAGAGAAGGCTCTCCCCCTGGGGGTCGCCAGCCGGCATTGTCTGGCCGACGGCACTCTAAGGAGGCCCTCTCTGTGGGAGCGGACTGGTCGATAGAGTATCCTTAGCTCCTAGTGTTATGGATCTTTATGCTCACGAGAGGGTTTAGCAATTTGTGATCACACTGCAATTTTGTGTTTGTTCCAACTAATCTCAGGTCTGAGACACATAGGTAGCCATATGTGAGATCTTGTTTTTTGTGCATGGACATCTGGTCCCAAATTGGAGAATGTGAGAGCTAGTCTTGGGCCTGGTCAGATCATACTCTGGGGATTACTCATTTTTCTGAAACTCCCAGAAAGGGTGCTCTTAAAATGACCTGCTCCAGGTGTCTGATGATCTGGATAGATTCCAGAGGCACCCCAGAATGTTCTCAGCAATCTCATAGGCAATAGTTTTGAATGTTTGGTTGATCTCTGGAATATGGAGGTGAATATGGAGGGCACTCAATGCAGTTATCATTCACTGAATGGATAAGAGCTTATGTATATGAACTTAAATCATGGTAATAAGGATGATGATGTGATAAAGTCATTCATTTTTTACTTCTCTACTCTTGATTGCAGTTCTGTTTAAGGTGCCCTGTGTCTTTGGGATTCAGGAAGATTTTCTGAGGATCACTTTAAAATTTTGAAGAAACATTTTGCTAATAAAATCATTACCTCTGGCATGGACTGTGCATGAGTTAAATCAGAGGAGGTGATTGGACTCCGAATGATAGGATTATCTGTGCCATGTGTGTGCTAGATCCATGTCCTTCTTGGGTCTTTTGGAGAGCATTTTGGGGAAGTGAGAGTCTAGATACGGAAGATAGCTAATGTCCCCTGGAGGTACGGTAGCAGTTGTATCCTCTATCTTGAGGAAGTGGTGTTGCTTTCTCCTGAAGTCTATTCTGGATCTTGCCAGGCTGACAACTCTCTCTTAGTCCCCAACTTTCCCTTTTTGAGGATAGTTGCAGAGAGTAGTAGGGCTCCAAATGCAGGTTGGTTGCCCTGGTGGATGCTGAGATTGTATGAGATCAGGGTGAAAAGGATGGAGTCTGTCTGGAAATACCATAGTGTTATGGCAAATTATCTTCAAAGAGTTGGAAAATTCCTGGTAACTTTGGAACGGCTGTTATCAGACATTGTTAGCATTATTTTCCTCTCCAAATTTGCTGCAATTCTAGTAATGACAACGGTTATATATTGAAACATTTATTGTAATTTATTTCATATAATTGTGTATTTCCTTAGGGGGCTTTACCATTCAGACATATAAGAGTGCTCAGAAGCCATCTCCAATGGAACTGATGCGTACACAGTCCACCAGGATGTCAGATGACTCTGCAAATTTCAAGCCTCCCAAGATGGATATTCCAACTATTGAAGAAAAGAGGCGGTCTTCACATTCTCACAATATTAAACCCCGGGACTTGAATGTGCTTGCTCCCTCTGGCTTTTAGGAGTATTTCTACTTAAGTGCGCAAGTATGTTCTTGTCATCTTGCTATCTTATCTCATCTTTAAGTAGACTCTATTCTACTCATAAATCCCTGATTAAAAAGTGACTCTGTGCTTTCTAGTTCAGAATTATAAATGGGATGAAATGAGTTCTGGGCAGCTTTCTTAATTTATTGCCTTTTCCCTCTCAAATGGCTCTCTGGGTACACTATAAATCAAAGTGATCTACCACTGAAATTCAGACAACAAATTGTGTGCTGCTTTACATAGCTAAATTTTAAAAAGGAAAGCTATAAAATAGTTAAACTTGTTTAGAATATTTGTGCTCCCGCTACTAGATTTGGTGCTGCTATTCAGGTCAGCTTATCAATAGACAATATATTATTTTTTAATAGCTATGTGTTTTTTTTAACTTGAAGGGAATCTAGGAAAAAAGGAAAAATGTTTTGCTAAGGTATTCTGGAAGAATTATTCTTCAAATGCAGACTCTCTCACTGTTTTCATACATAAAAGTTCCATGTGTAAGGAAATTTAAGAATTAAGTTCCCCTTCTAGACCTGTGGCATGGAATACAATATTGTTTGTGATGCATTTTGTTGTTGTTGGAATCAAATGATTCAGTCTGAAGTGCAACGTAGGCAAATTCCTTCATTCCTAAAATAATCAGATTCTATTTTTAATAAAGGGATTCCAGAATTGAGATCCCTTGGAGTTTGAAAAGTGTAGCCATAGTTTCTATGAGAAGAATGTGAAATAAAATATCACTGAAACTATAACAGACATTCCTGTACATGCTTCCTTGGGAGGCAAAGGAATCCAAAATAAAATTACTTAATAGAACATGAGAAGATTTTTAATTCAGCTGTTCAGTTTATAAATGTTACAATTAATGTTTGAGTAAATGTCTATTTTTACAGATTTATATTTTAGAATCATTCATTGAAAGATAAAAAATATTTAGTATATGCTTTAAGGCAAATGAGCATATATTATTTCTGTTTTTTTAATCTAATGTTAAATGTCAACTAAATGGCATTACTTTACAGCAGGGGGATGGGAACTTACAAGCATTACATTACAATAAAACCTTTTTTTCTTGAATACCAGATTTGTGAATTTCGTGAACCCTTCTTATGTCCTAAATTGGTCTTATATCTTATTAAATCCAAATTCCTATATCTGCTATATCTAAGTGACTTAACAATCCATTTTTCTTCACAACAGCTGCAACTTGGACCTGTATTGCTTTGATAGTGCTGTGTCAGCTCATCATTTGTACCCGGGAGACTGTGATCTTGCTTCTTGGTTAATGTTTAATTTATTTGTAGTATTTTGTGCTCATGTCTCTATGCCTAATACTTTTGCAAAATAAACAAACACGAATTAATCTTGGAGGTATGGCTGTTATTGCATAGTGTACAAATACTCCTTGTTTAATGACTTTAGTAATTGTTCAAAGTTGTGATGGCACTGAATTGAGTATACTTATGACTGGTCCTCAAGGTTCTGGCCATCCTAGCATCCACAAAGTCTTGTGATTTGGGCAAGTAATATTCACTTCCACAAGAAAAGTCAATGGGGAAGCCAACAGGGAAGGTCATAAGTCGTTCCAGTAAGTCACCTGCCTCCAGAAGCGGTGAATGCTCCAACACTGGGAGTTTTTAAGAAGAGACTGGACACCCATTTGTCTGAAATGGTATAGGGTTTCCTGCCTGAGCAGGGGGTTGGACTAGAGGACCTCCAAGGTCCCTTCCAACTTTATTATTATTATTATTATTATTATTATTATTATTATTATTATTATTATTATTATTATTATTATTATTATTATTATTATTATTACTACTACTACTACTCCCTTCCTCTCCCATCCAGAGCAGCCATCCCTAGCTGTGCAACATTCACAGGCCACCTGCACACCCACCCCTGCCTGGGAACAGCCTCTTTATCTGCCTACTGGCCTGCTTACAACTGCCTGGAACTTGCTTAATGACCCGTGATCCTCGCTTAATGACGGCAATGGGCAGTTCTGTGATTGCTGTCGCTAAGCAATGCAGTCATGTGACATCACACTTTATGAGCACATAGCTTGGCGACAGAAATTCTGGTCCCAAGTACTATCATTAACTTGGTAGAATTAACTGTAATAGTAAAACCTCTCAGCCCTGCATGTATTATCTACTACTAAGATTTATCTGGGAACGTGACTCATTCTCAGTGGATTGACATCTGTACAAACATAGCCTTGTATAGCTATCTAATCTCCAATGACCTGTAATCTTAGAAGAAAAAAAGATCAAACTCATTCCACTTTTTCAGCTAGTAAAATTTATTATAAAAGGTGTATAAAACATAAATAAAAACAAAACTAGACAAACTGGTATTAACAGAAATTTAGAATAAACTTGACAAATTCTTGACTTATCCAGTGACTGAGAATACAGTGCAATTTATTGCAATCAAAGAAAGAAGACTTAGTTTGTAATTTTTTTTTAAAGAACACTTTACACTTGGAAGAGGTCCATCTGTCAGCATCCAACAGTCCTCCACGAGTTAGATATCCATAGCAGTGAAAAGCAATACCTTGAGTAGTTCAATCTTTTCTTGGATGGGGGAGGGAATTGGCTGTCCCAGAATTTGGCGGAGCTTTTTCTGGATGCTGTGAATGCTGTGCTTTATATCACTTCTTTCAATATAATCATTTGACTGTAGTTTGGGTTTAGCAGCTTTGATAATTAAATTAATACGTTCATACACTGAGTTTCTTAAATGCTCTATAAAAAAGGGTAGAAGCAATTGTTGAAAGTTTGTTATAGTTTGTTTTACCATCAGATTGATATTTTAGGCTGTAATTGCCTTGTAGCTATAACAGGAAAATCTCCATTTTATCCCATGTTAACTGAAATTAATGTGTGAAAAAAAAAAGTTCAAAAAATTGCTAAAATACAGCAATTCTGAGAATTGCATCTCGTCAGAGATAGGCTTCCAGCTGTAACTGTGTGAATTAAACAAAGGTATTTTCCCCTACATAACTGTTCCTTTTTTGTATTAACAAGTGATGTAAGGTTGCACACATAAAAGTAGTATTATACTGAGTTTGGTCCAAAACTCCACTTGAAACACTGAATTCATAGAAGCAATGACAACTCAAAATTATTCCTTGCTTGGCCAGTGGAACAATTTAATTTTTTAAAACATTGTTTTAAAATTGCAATAATAAAAAGCAACGGTTGCTCTTTACAGTCAGTGTCTGCCTAAACAGCAGTCAAACACCAGCAGTAAATTCATCTAGTAAAAATAACATAATTGTGAAAGGATTACTGGGCTGAGGCTTCTTCCAAAAATACATGCTTGTATATAATGCACAATCCTTTAGTTACTGCAAGATTTAACAGCTTTTGTCTTTGGCAGACTCCAGCTCAATTGCATAGAAAAGTATGCAATGGATTGTTTACTTTTGTAGTTGGCTTGCTGCCTTAAAGAGAAATACTGAACAAATGGATACCTTTGAACTTCCCAAAAGTAAATACTTTTAAAACTGAAACAAACCTACCAAGCAAGTCATTTTTGTCCTGAATAGTTTTTAATCTCCAACATATATTTAACCCTACATTTGACCTAATTTCTCCCATCATGGTCAGATCACTCCCTCATGAATGTCCAGTTGACTGGCACCACTCCACTCAGCAGGGAGGCTGCACCTATTAGACTGGCCCACCCCAAATGACTGATGGACCTGATTGGGTTCCAGAGGGAGTTTGGGGTTCTGGAAGATCTGCTACACGGTCCAGCCGAAGCCTTGCTTGCTGCTGGAATGAGAGAACGGCTGTGGCTGTGGACTAGATTACACCCAAGTGGCAGCTCTACACCTATGAATATCAGAATTCTCCATGGATTTATGGATGAACTAAGAAAAGTGAAGAGGGCAAAGAGATGCCTAGAGTACTGCTGCAAATGATGAAGAGTGAGATGATTGAGCATGAACTAGAGCACCTATCTTGTGGCTTTAAGGTTGGCAAAAAGTAATCATTTCTCTGCTCTTATTACATCTACAGATAGTCATTCAGTGACCCTGTTCAGGTCATAGTGAGAAATCTTCAGTGGATAAAGTGACAGCCATGGCTAAGAGGGCCTTTGCACACCTTTGGTTTAGGCACTAGCTGCTCATTCCTGGACCTGAGGGTTCTGCTGACTGTCATGCCCTTGTGATCTGTCGTCTAGATTACTGCAATGCACTCTACATGAAGCTTGCCTTTGAAGAGCCTTCAGAAGCTTCAACTGGTGCAGTATGTAATTGTACAGGTAGTAAATGGTATCAACTATTTGACACATTGGATAAGTCCCTGATGTTAGGAAAGATTGAAAGCAAAAGGAGAAGGGGACAGTGGAGGATGAGATGGTTAGATAGTGTCATCACTGCAATGAATATGAGTTTGGTGGACACTGGGAGACAGTAGAGGGCAGGTGGTGTGCTGAGGTCCATGGAGTCGCAAAAGTCTTGACACGATTTGGCAACTGAACAACAAAACAACACAGGCAAGATCACTACTTTGTGAACTGCAATGGTTCACAGGTTACCCAAGGGACCATCTTCCAGTGTTTCTACCTGTCCAATACAGTCCGGATGGTCATGCTCCGAGTCCCATCAGTCAAGAAATGTCTGCTGGTGGGGCCTACAAGGTATACTTTTCTGCCATAGCACTTGCCCTCTGGAACACTCTCCCTTTATACATTAGGGTGGCCCTGACTCTGTTGGCCCTTGAAGAACTGGTTATGTGCCCTGGCCTGGGGGCCTGAGTGTGTGAAGGGGCCTGTTTCATCTTTATATGTGCGTATTATAATTTTCTTGATTTCTATTTATTTTTGCATTGTGTTTTTAATTGGTTTAAAATGATTTTATGATTATTCGTTATCCGGGGTCATTTGTTTGAGATGGACTACCATGTATGTAGGTACTGTAGGTAGATAAGTAGATAGAGACATACATACATACATACATACATACATACAGATAGATAGATGATGGATACGATAGATTAGCTTACATTAGATTAGATTAACTCCAATCAATGCTAGCAGATAAAAAAAATGTGCTGACATTATTGGCTCATGCCACTCCTAAACTCCATGGTTGGGAAAAATTATGAACAAACAGAAATAAGTGAATTACAAAACATTGGAACTCAAAGCTACCTGAAATGAAACACTTTAGTTTTATCCAAAACTAGGGACGACATTTTGAGTATGGCATGTTTTCTTCCAAGCTTGTAATACCTGAAATAGCTATTTCAGCTTAGAGTATTTTGAGTATTCCTGCAAACCCGTGCAAGATGTCCTAATACTGACTCCTAATCAGAAAGATATACAGAGAAGTTTATGAGCAAGCTGCTTACCTAGAACTATAGTACGGTAACTCAGCAACAATAAATTCAGTTGATGAAGCATCTCATCCCATCTCTGCCACAATTTTTCACTGTCCTGTGAACAGGATTTTTATTCAGAATTTTACAAATGATGCATACTGATATTTTAAAAGGGCTTTGAAATACTATACTTTAAAGAACTTTGAATAACAACAGATTAAAACAATGCATAAACACTGTAGGGATGCATGCAATGTTCCAGGTTTCAGTTCTGTTAATATAAACGAAGGAAGCAAGCACTGAATTAATTACCTGATATGTTAGCAGCAGGGAAACGTGGTTCAGAAAATACAATATTTTTGTCAAAGACAAAGGCTGTTTGGTTGGTATAGAGCAGCTATGTTGGAAAATAAGCTCCAGCACTTTGCATCGTAGAAGGTGACAATCCATGGTGCTCAGGAACATGTCTCTGTAAGTTGATACATTGCAAAGAGTGAAGTTTTATGTTCTGCACTGGTTTGGGAGCAGTAATTTTAAAGAGGGTCATGTCTAAACCAAAGGCACAACATAATGAAACAAAGACATTAAATGAAAGTGTCTTCTCAGAGTCTGCATCATTGGATGAAATGAAACTTGTTTCAGACAAAGATAAAACAGCAGCACAGATGGTCTCAATTCCCTGAACCAGAGAAAATTTCAAGCTCTTTCTATGACCACTATCTCTTACAAACTTCAACTATAGCAGGCATAAAATTCAAAACATGTTATTCTGCTGCAGATGTTTACTTTGGGATACCTCAGGAAATGTTCAGTCAAGGTTGGGGTAGATTACATCCTCAGTTTATCTGCTTGATCTCAGTTTGATAAGCAGGCATTCTTAACACTCATAGGCCGAAGACAAGTTATTGTGCTATGTTATACTGTCAAAACATAATAATGGCTGATTTTTAAATACTAAAACTGTAGCCATAAGATTAATGAAATTTTGATTAAGTGACATAGGGATGAAACTGAAATCTGCTACTATGCAATTTAGGTTTCTACGCTACAACTAGCAAATTTTACAACTTATATCCAGTCCTAAAACTAGCTCGCTAGAACTCTTTCCAAGATATTAGGCATGTGACAAAGATACTATTAGCAAAAATTGCCTAAATTATAGAATTAGACATTAACTGGAGAATTGAAGCCTGAATGTTTTAGCATGTTGCCTTTCATTAAGTACACCAAACATTTCCAATGTAGTACCTTCCATTTTATGTTGAGCTAATTTAACTAGATTAAAGGATCTTAAAGATGCCTTTACTTAGAACACAGCCAAATACAACTATTATTTTCCCTAAGTGTTTTAAAATTAAATTTAACCAAATTGTTCCTTATTACCATGGAAGTGAAGCAAACTTGGCCCTCCTTTAGGTGTGCTGAAGTACACTGCCAAGGCATAGTGGAAGTTACAGTCAAACCCTCTAGTAGGCACCAGACTACAAAAGACCCGTATAGATCCTTTATATTGAGTGAGTGAGGGAACCAAGTAAGTGCTGGCAAATAGATTACCGGTAGTAATCTGATAATTTTTGTTACCAGAATATATTTTCTAAATTAAAGGGAGATGTTACAGAAGTATATAAAACAGAGCAAGGGCTGGATTGCTGGAAGGTTATTTTTTTTCAGTCATACGCTATTAGATTTTGCCATCATTCACTATATCTGAATTGCAACAAATTCAGGTCAGATTAAAGGATGTACTTTTTCCATAAAATGTAATTATGAAATTCAATGCCATAAATATAGTAGATTACTAACAAGACGCATTGATAAATTCATGGAAAAAACATCAGTGATTAGACATGATCCACGGAGATAATGCTGGTCGATAGTCTCTCCCTTCATCTTCCACGGATCTCTTTTCCCCAAGGTGAGCAAGAGAAATTCAAAAGTATTTATAGTAGTCAGTTGAGAAAGTATTTAGAATTTACAATTAATGAAGTGATCAGTGACTTTTATTTCTCCTGGCCCCTTTTTATAGACTTTTACAAGCTCAGCTATGATTCTGCCGTATACTTAGCAGACCAGCCACCGTGTACTGTGAAAGGCCATTTAAAATTTATTTTTTTACTGGACAGAGGTGTGAATCTAGAGACTTCGACACATAGCTGTACTTTAGTTCTTAGTAACCTTTATTGCTGATAATGATAGAGATACTGGATGTTAATTTAGCCACATCTGGAGATCTACAGGTTTCCAAGGAATCCTATACTTGCGTCATACAAATGCATACACCTGGGAACATGTAGTTAAAGGCATGAAATTATGTTCTTTCTGTATTCGAAAAAATAATTTGGCATGACTCTCCAAATCTGTGGTAGACCTTTAATTTTCAACATTTAGAAAAAGCATAGATTCAACACTTGCTCTTTGCTCAGAAATGTCTGACTGAGCTAGGAATATAATGAGAACAACTCTAATACAGAGTTGCGCAATCAATACAGAAAAAGTCAATTCTGAGGAAGAGTGAATTCAATAGTTTACTTATCTCTTACCTTTGGCCCCGCTTGGGTATATTCAACAGAGAAGAAAAAACCATATCTGCAATTTTACTGGCATTGCAATTTGGAGATTTGTCCACTTCAACTGCTATTGAAAGCATCCTTTGTAGAAGTGCAACTTCCCTAAACCAGAGAAACAAAATGTTACTAAACTGACCTCCACCATTTAGTGGAAGTATGAAACCATAGGCTAAGACAATCATCACAACCTTCAGATTATAGTCATTTCAGAAGACACAGAACACATACTTAGTTTTTAAATTACAATAGAACAATACCATTTAGAATCTGCAATTTAATGAAACTCATGCAGCCTTGAGATAGTGAACAAATGAAAGGAGAGCCAAACAATTTGCTCTTGAGATGAACAGCAGTTTACTAATACTTCTGTTATATTTTGCACCACTCTCATAACAGGAGGGAAAGACTATGTCACTTCTCCAAAATATTGATAAAGGACATTCTTAATTGCTACAGTAGAACATACAGTGTATACAGCATATGCATTGCTGTAACATGCTATACGTGGGGCTGTCCTTGTGCTTTTGGAAGCTGTAGCTGGTGCCAAATATACGGGCAGTTCTGTGCACACTTGAACAGCACTTGTCACATCTTTGCTCATGTGCTTCATTGGTTTCCAGGTACAATTCAAGATTCTGGTAATGACCTATAAAGCCCTACGTGGAATGAGACAGGGAAATTTGAGGGACCGCCTTGCCCTGGTTACATCTACCATCCCATCAGATCCATCAAGGAAGGCATGTTACAGGTCTTGTCTACTAGGAAATATCATTTGATGGGACCTAGGAAGAGAAGGGCCTGATGACTTAGCTGTGCCATCATGCCTGGAGATCCAGCAGTAGTGGTGAGACTTGGCAATCGCTGTATTAAATGGACATATGATTTGTATTCATCAACCATTAATGTTTTATTATTTTTTAAACAAGGTTTTTAGAATAGTTATATGCTATTTTGTTTATGTTTTGTTGTTTCTGTTGCTTTTAATTATTGTGAGCCACCCAGAGTAACATTTGTGAGATGGGTAGAGATAGATGATAAAGATAGATGATAGAGATAGATAGATAAGAAGGATTAGATAGCTAGATAGATAGATAGATAGATAGATAGATAGATAGATAGATAGATAGATAGATAGATAGATAGATAGATAAAGACAGATTAGATAAAACAGACAGACAGACAAATAGATAAATATAGATAGAGAACTATTTTAAGTCAGTTAACCAAGTGCATTCCATACAATTAACATTTTCTGAGTGTGTTTAGGCCAAGTTTGGAAAAATTTATTTACTCAAATGAAACAAATATTGTTTCATTTAAGTTCATTAGGAACTTCAAAGAGAAAAACACTATAATGTGAACTTCAAACAAAGCAAACTTTTGAATCTGCTTACTTTTGAATTTGAAATTGTATGGAGCTTTCCTCTTTCTGCATGGTCTCATTTAAGGACACTTCTGGAGTGGAGTTACAGTTCTGACCTCTGGATTTGCTTATCGATACATTTTTGGTTTCTTGCAGGCATTTTTTGTGTTGAGAAATTCTGGCCCCAGTGACCACAGCTATTAGCCATTCAATCACTTCCCTGAACAGAAATAGCAATTAGAGATGCACACAAGTAATATATAGTCTCAGATATTGCTCGTACATTTTTTAAAATAGTAATTACATTAAAGATTACAATTCACAAGAATAAAAACTAATACAAAATTTAAAAATAAAAATAAGGATGCAGAAAAAATAGAAAAGGAAGAAAAAAAATAATATAGTAAAGTAAATGAAAAGTGATTTTCCCCCCTACAAATATAAATAATTTTAATAACTAATCACTTCTTAAAAAACAACAAATTAGCTCTTCTTTCCATATTCCATCTCTTATCTATAAACAAATCCATAAAATCTTGTCATTTTAGTCCTGTTGTCAGCAAAAATCCAGTAAGGATTAAACATCTATTTTAACCTTGATCAAATAGACTAACTTTATATTTCTTCCTTCCTTCTAAAGATCTTGATCTTTAGTCCCTTCAAATAATGTCCTAGAACTTCATTTCTTTGTCCCATTTCACTAAATTCTTCAAAGCTTAAACAAGCCTCTTTTATAAATCTAATATAGGAAAATTATCCAGTTCATTCTCTTGGTTTATTATCG